ATGATATCCAAACACAAAGAATGCTTGCCGAATGAAAGAAAAATGGGATAATGAAGGAAAAATTTCACCGATTTTCTTTTGTACAAAAGTAACTTGAAATGATGATGTCGTTGTGTGTGTGCTTTTTTTCAATCCCTTCTTTTCCAACGGTATTTGGGTTACAGAAAAGTTATGCAGTTGAATCATTTCTTTTGGTAGAATGAAGAAAAAAAGAAGAAAAAACCTTCTTATGCATTGTGCACAAACGGGAATTCCTTAATTTGAGTTAATCGAAAGGGATGATGTTTACTTTTTTATGTACATGGCATGAAGATGACGAACTAGGCAAATGATTTCTTGCCTTGTGAAATGCCATTGATTTTCTTCTTCTTCTCAATCAATGCATGACTGTGTCGAACAAGATCTGTGACAAGAACTGTACGCCACTTATTCGACTTAAAATTACTTAACTTCGATGACAATTCACAAATGCGTTCCTTTTGCCCTTTGTCTGTGCGTTTGCTTCTCAACTTACTGCTCTAGTTAAATACATGTACGCAAATCAAAGCGGCACAACGACCAAAAGTACACTTTTCGCCTGTACATTTATTTTACGAGCATTGAAAGTGGCGCGCGTGTTTTTTTCTCCTTTGATATATTCTCAATCACAACGTTACGTTCGCGAAGGATATACATCATCATGAGCTAAGTGTTTCTTGAATGACACAACACAAAATCGGAAATATTTTCCCGTTTTTTGCGACTTTGAATGCGATTGATTCGTTACTTCTTACGTTTTCAGCCTTTTTACACCATTCAATGACACTGTCAATGCGAATGCAGTACAACAACAAAAAAAAGTGTCACGACACAAATGAGCGAGACCTACTACCGTTACACATCGATTGAGTGTTTAACACAAAAATGACGATGGTGATGACAGCCGGCGTACAGTTTTGTACATTACATGCATTATTTTGTTGTTGTGCGGAACAGTTGTCACATTTGGAATTTGTTGGGATATGGATTGACTTGTGGTTTAACTGGAACGCAATTTCTGTTGTATCACTTCGTAAAGCCACGATTTACATAATATTTATTTGGTTCAATTGTGTCAAGTGCTTGAAGTTCTCTCTTTTTTTTCATTCATGACAAAAACCCCTTTACCGCATTCCATAGGCGCGCACTTCACTACAAAAATAGCAACCATTTCGACACTTGGAATTGTACGACACATACACATATAAATGGAAGTATTCAACAAGCGGAAACATCACATTAGAATCGTACTTATAAATCGGAAAAGTTATTTATGCTAACAGCATTTTCTTCGTCGGCGGGTTACAGTGTGACAACATTTAGATGTCAGTTATTGTGACGGAAATAAGATGTTTCAAGTAAATCAGCTTCATTTATTTATTTTATTTGCAAAAAATTGACAAAAGCTTGCGAAAGAAAGCTTTGTAGATAACATCGCAGTACAACAACAACAAAAAGATTTACATCGTCAAACCACATTTTGTCTATTTAATTAACATCGTCAATAAATTACTTGGAAAAGATGTGGCAATTTTTCACTTGAATCGTCTCGGTTTCTTTTATGCTTTTAGTTTTGAAATCCGCCACATTTTGAAGTCAAATTGGAGCGATAAAGTTACACTTTATCAACTTGAAATAATGTGCTGACTATGCGAACGACAAAAGAAACCATGCAGCGAAAATTCCATCTTTAGTGGAAAATATAAAATATACTCGAATATATATTGTCGGCGGATTTCCCATCCGACGAGCTCAAAGCTGCACACACACACATACACATTTTTCATTGCTCATTTTTTTTGGTGCAGTGTTCATATTGTTGACGTTAATATTTGAATATTTCAATATGCTGCTTGTATTTTGCTGTAGGTGGCTGCCGATGAAGAAGACGGCGACGGTGGCGATGGTTGAACAGCAATCGGATATGGAGTTACACCATTTACTTTCATTGCATTTCCATAAAGCGTTATTCACGCCACCATATATTTCGTACAACTCTTATCAAATGCACATACATATGATAGCTATAGCCAGGCTATATGCGGGTTTTTTTTCCTTCGAAAATACCATCGTCACACAGCATTATTGGAAGCACAAGCGATTACAACATTTTCATCGTTTTTGTTTTCCGCTTTCTTTTACCGGTATTCTATCTTGCCTTTTCTATTTCCTTTATTCGGTAAAAACCAACAGACGCTTCAACTTAAAAGAGACGAGACGAATAAGCGAGAGAGAGAGAGAGAGAACCTTTACAATTTCTCTATAACGCTGAATATGGGAAATCAAATGAAACAGAAAATCATGAAAACTAATGGCACCGGATTCGCCTTTTGCCATCACAAAAAACGTCACCAGAAACACCGTACCATCACACATGCTTTGGCTTACGAGTAAAAGGGCGCGCGCAAAGGAGAGATGTGAAAACGATCATCTTGCAAGTCGAAATGAATAAATTTTCAACGGCAAAATCCCCAGTGATCAAAGACACAGGTTGATAATGGCGATAAAACGTCGGTCTCATTCGCACGTGAGTATACACCTTCTCTATTTCCTTCTCCATCATACACGGAACAGGATAGAAAGTCATTCCAAAATGAAGCATCGATAAATTCAAAAGTGCTAGATAATATGTAGTGAACATAGTGGCAAAGTTGAACACTTTACTACTCAATCCATGAAAATTGGACGCGTTTGTTATACGTTGCAAATGTTGGTTTTACTTCAAACGCTCGCTTGTCGTAAACTTAATGGCCACACACTGGAGTGTATTTTGTGAGCATTTTATGAATAAAAAATGAAACCATCAAATGCATCTTGGTTATACCCTTTACGATGTAACGTTTATAAAAGATTTGACATGCAGAAAAAAAAACACACACACTCTCTGTACTGCACAAGAGATTTTCTTCAATCGTCAAAGTGAAATAATTAAATTAATCAATTAGCCATGTGAAAGTAGATAGATATATTCTCTTTGAAATAGCAATCCTCTTGCAAATTTACTTTTCCTTCTTTTTTTATTTATTTTTATTTATTCCTTCATCTTATTCATTAATGGAACTCGAGCAATAACCCACAGTTAATAACCTACAGCAGTGAATAAAAGTGGGACAAACACACATGAACATCATGAAAAAGTTTTCTAGAATTATTCCACTGGAGTTATAGTTCCATGATATTGTCGTTGAATATTTCAACTGTTCCTTTTTTTAAATTTTAATTTTGCCCCACTGCCGATCTGAGTAGTCAGCTGTTCGTTTGAAATGTTGAATTATTTTTTCCGGCTTAAAAACTGGGTTAAAATATTAGTGTTGCTACTTTTTATGTGAATGAAACTGGTATATTGTTGCTGAAAATTTACTATGCTCTTTTTTTGGGGGCGGTAAAACTTTTAATCAAAATATACGAGTGAGTGTGTGAGAGAGAAAGCAAATAAAATAAACAAGAATGTAATAATTTTCATTTCTGCATATGCATATTGAAAAAGAATGGTATTTGTATTTTTTGGGCTCTATGGAAAAACTTCGTCAATAAAATAATGTCATTTTGATTGTGACGTGTGTGTATGCTTTGTTTGCCGTAAAACGCAAAAAGTTAATTTAAGAAATTTCTCATTTAATTTCTCTTTGTTGGCATCATGTGGTAAACCAATCATAATATTCTCTTTGCCAGAGATGTACATTATTTTCAGCATTGGTTTATTCGGCATTACATTTTGCTGCACTCGGTTCGAATTTTTTTTTACATCAAAAGAGATACCGCAGTTGAGCTTTTTGAAATCAACTCTTTATGCATGTACGCATTACTATCGTTATTTGAAATCAAAAATTCATTAGAAAGCGGGTACATACATTTGGTTATTATCATCACCATATATTTTCTGCATATGAAATTTATTTCGTTTCGGCCAGTGTTTGTATAGTAATCATTTAACCAGCATATAATCATGGTTGGCTATGGAGTTGGCTCGAAGTTGAAAAACAAAACCAAAAGCTGTAAAACCATTGGTTTGGTTTCGCTTGACTCGGCTGTACAGCAAGCGAGACTTGCATTCGCCTGAGACGTACCGAATGAAATATAAAAAAAAGAAAATATGCTTTTTGAAAGAACTAGTGAATATAGAATAAAATCCACATTGTTTGGTTCATGGATAATGACTTGTTGGTGTGCGGTGGCTACATGTTCGGCTCACAACGAGTAAATGGAAAATGGTTATCAAATCTCTATCCAAGTGCAATTCGTTGCTGGTTGGGGTTTTTTCCTCTTTCTCTTTGTTCGTTTTTTTTTCTTCTTCATTCTTCCTTACTGTAAAAACATTATCCATATCCACAATGCCATAAACAACATCGTCATTATTATAAGTACATATCGTTCATATGAATATTATTCAGTCTGTGTGCTATATTATATGCGACTATTGCCGCCGCTCATTCGTGTCTGCATGCTCTCTATCAAGCACACATATAGCACTCAATTTATTATATATCCATAGATTGGAAAGTGTCAACAACAAACTGCTTTCATTGTGAAATGCGCATGACAGTCGCCGCTCTCGCGAAGGAGAGAGAGTGTGTCTGTGCGATTCCAAGTTCGAAAATTTGTGTTCGCTTACACTGTGTGCATGAAGGATTTTCGAACATCGAATTGAGTGGAAGTAAAGCGACCATGCACTTGACTGAAGGATAAACACGCACACCATTGCAGACCAAACAAAAACAAAACAATTCAAACACATGTTCCATGTGTCGTTGCGAAAATGAGAGCGCATTTTGCCCCGAGTGCTTGTGTTGTGTCAAAATGAGAATAGAGAGCAAGAGAGAAAATTGGCTCTTCGAATAGTTGCCGATTCAAATGTTTTGTTGGTGATATTTTGCGCTCTCTCTCTATCTCTCGCTCGCTCCATGTCTCTCTCGGCACATTTTGACAGGCAACGTATAATACACAAGTCAATTGGTGAAACGAGAACAGTGATTGTGAGTTGGTGCTGGCGTTATGTTGTGGCATTTCCCATCTTCATATCGCTCGGCTCCGTTAGTTCTTGTTTGCCCTTCGAACCGATCAGTTGTTAGCTGTCAACTTGTGCAATAACAAAGAGAATAAAAAAAAACTATATGTCCGTGTAGTTAAAATCGATATAAAATAAATTACTTTTCGAATGGAAATATAAATTTTAATTAACAATAATTGTCAGTACGCGTGTTAAAATAACATGTTTTTTTGAGATAACATTAAAGAACATACAATTGTAAACAATTTTAATGAAGACTTTACGAAATTAAGGTGAAAAAAAAAACAAGTTGTAATTTTTAACAAACATTTGAATGCAATTCAAAGTTGATGTTTTTTTTTTGTTTCGGAAATAATAATAGTTTTTAAAGTGAAACGTGACGATAAAACATCGAATCAGTGTGTTATTTTACAATCTCAGTGTGTAACTAACTGAACGAGATTGTGTGGAGAGGAAAATTGGACACAAAAATGCGTTGCAAGACATAGAAAAAAGACAGAGCAAAAATTAACGACACCAACAGAATAATGAACTAATGGAATGGTGTGTATATTCGTATATATATATTCCTTACGTATTTAATGCAAAACAATTAAATTGAGTTATGATAATTGTTATGAGTTTTTCTTTGTTGTTTGCAATGTTGTTGTTCTTGTTTTATTTTCGTTATTGTTGTTGTTTTTTTTATTTCATGCCGTTTCGATGCTTTATGTTCGTTAATTCATTTTGGCATAAATTGTGTTTTCCATTCGCTACGTTCATGGCAGACAGATAAAATTCAAGGGGGTTGCAGAAGTGGTGGTGTTGATGAGTGTTGCAGTTTTTACCATTTTTATCGTTGAATCTCTTTAAGAGGTGTTTCAATGACTGTGCACATACTTGTAACTAGTGATTGACGGTTCTTTCTCTTCGCCAATTTCATGGGATCGAAATTACTGTGCACATACCAACAATATGAGCCATTGTTTACTCAATCTTATAAAAAAGTTTTTCGATTTGACGGTTATGAGCTACAATGAAGTAGCCACAATATAAACGGTTGGGGCGTGAATGAGACTGTGTTTGTGCACCCTTCAATGACCCAAAATTGTATTGATTCGGGCTTATGGGCATGCATTCGTAGCGTATTGTGAACAAATGATACGAGACTATCAACGAGACTGTACTAATCAAGTGCGGCAGTATTGTTTTCCTTACACCACAGGAATCATTTTTCTAAAAGTAGTAGAAAAACTTACACCCCTGTCGTTTCATGGGATTTATGAGCAAAAAAAAATCTTATCTAACGCAGAGTGGTCTGATATATGTTTGTTTTGATCACCATATTCACCAAAACCAGAGACAAAGAAAATGAGATAGAAACGTAGAAATTCTAATTAAATTTACCTGTGTCAAACCTCCTGCTGTCAAATGGAATTTATGTCCGCCGACACCACCGACAGTGCCAAGAGTTGGAAGCGTCTGTTTATTGTCATTTGAAATGTCCCCCGTTGTACATATCAACAATGTTTTCCAAAAAGAAATTTCAAATTAGATACACAAACAAAGACACACACACACACTCTCAAAAAGGCCAAATAAAAATCGAAATTCCATTGAAAATATTTACTTTTTGTGCTTCATGAATTGTGCGCTCAATTCAACGGGAAATATGAAATATTCATCAAGAACGTAGTACTGAAGCAGTGCTTTTGGGCATTTTTCAAATTTAGACAATGACAATAAATATTATGCGAAATTGAACGACCCTTGAAAACCTTGGAAATTCAGTTCGCTTCAGATGACTGACAATGAGCCTTGTTAATAAATTATAATATGTAAACTTCTAATTTGGCTTCGCATATTGAATACATTTCTGCCACGATACACGATTTAAATTCCAATGGCCATCATACCACTGCACACTGTATCTGTTTGCGGTAACATCTTTTCAATATCTACTCCATGCCGTTGTTGTTTTTTTTGTGTGTATCAATCGTTGTTATTTCTCATTTCCATCGTTTTTTGTGACCATCAGGTTTTTTCTGCTTTTCATTTCGTGCACTGTATAAGTATCAACCGCATTTGTATGTTTGGTATTTCTCCGATTCTTTTTGGTTTGTTCTCTATCTCTCGCCAACGCGTTTTCCTCCACTGGACCCATTCAAAATTGGACGCATTTCCATTTTCAATGGCTGAAATGCAATGAATCATTGTTTTCATTCGATATAAACTCGAAGAGTCGTCGAGAGTTGAATCCGAATGAGATGAAATTGAAAAAACAGAAGTATAAGATTCCAATGTACAACACACAAAGCAGCGACTGAAACAAATGACAAAAAAAAACCAACTATGTAACGACAATGAAAACGAGAAAGAGAGAAAATGATGTGAAAATTCATTTGTTGCTATTCTCGGTTGACGATTTTTTTCTTTTCTCCGATCTCTTTTGTTCGGAATTTTTTTGTGGTTCAGTTGTCAGTTTGTGTTGTTTTTTGAATTCCAATTTTTCAGTTTGAGCTCTGAATGCGACATTTTCACGTATCCGTTAAGCCTTCTTGTACGTCGATGGCGTTGTCGACTGTCGAGATGTATACGGTAAATGATGATGGTTTCTTCTTTTTTTGGTTAGTCGTCATCCTATTTCCCAGGCGTTGTTTTAAATTCACCCAAACAACGAAATGAGAATCGACTCAACGAATCTCGAAAACTAATTTATGTTTCACAGACGCACTCAATTTCCTGTTTCCACCATTGTTTTTCTTTTTCTTGTTTTGAGCTTTTTTCACTTCTTCTTCTTCTTTGCATTCACGCTCGTTTCGTGGTATCACACTGTGTTGCTTGTGCTGTATGCTCTTTTTGTTGTTGCTTGTGGATGTGTCGTCTGAACGACAAGGATCGTGACGTGTATATTTTGTGCAATTCTTCTGAATTTGACGATGGCAATACAGAGAATGTGATGCGCGCTTTAGCATTCCGAAACAATGCCATCATCATACTCAAAATGTATCAACGTACAACACACACACACACACACACAAGCTTGAAAATATTTCGGAAAATATATACTGTATCAAAACAAGCGTTTTGGTTTTCCTACACTTCAGGCATTCTTCTTTTATTATTATTTTTGTATTGTATGCTTCCGATGTTGATTCATTTTAAAGTGGAGCCTGAAGTGAATTTATTTGCGCACATCGTTACCCAAAACAAGCTCATGCACACACACATACACACCGTCATGCAATCAACCATGTAGATATATTTTCTTCGTTTTAACGTTTCATGTATGTGACAATGAGATCACTTGGTTGGTTTTTCACATGGAAAAAAGATGATGACGACGATAATGGTACAATTGACAATGGAAAGACGATGAGAAAAAAAAGAGAACTCACCCGCTTGTTCGTTCGTTTACTCGTACCCACCGTGAATGGTGGTTGAAACAACAACAATAAACCGTCATAATGGCACATATATTATGCGTAAAACGCGCCATTCGCCGTTGTTATGTTTCAGTTTATCAACAATATACTTTATAGCGATGTGAAAATTTGTGCATGACACAAGCAGATACATTTTGAGCGCATTGGGAAATATGTGCTTTTATTTTTATCTTTCGTTGCAAAAAGATCTCTTGGCAGCCATAAAACCATACCAACCATACAAACTCCAACTCATTCTCAATCCGTTCAACAAAAGATAGATGGCATAGCTCAAGAATTTATGTTGCATATTTTACACAAAAGCAAGTTTTTTTATTGCTCTCTCTCTATTTTGATGCAAAAAAAATAGTTATATCTCTTCGATGACACGAAATGTGTCGTCTGTATGTTTGTGCGTACGTTTGATACAAATAAAAAAAACCATAACAAATTCAAACTCAGTGTTTGCTAGATTCTTTGCATATTCGCATGCATCATTGGATGTTTAAAATGCTCTGTGACATTTCTCTTATTTGACGAACTGTCCTCTCTTTTTTCTCTCTTGTGGATGTGTACGCGAGAATGTGATGCATCATTTAAGCCATGAGCGGAATTGCGTCAACAAAGGCGCCTGAATTCATTAACTAGAGCAATGGATGGAGCGAATTTTGCCTTGATGACTATATAAATGACTATTTGAAAGCCCCATTCATCATAGCATCGCATGCGGAAACTGCTTTCATTAATGAAACTCTGAATAAATACCCGAAAAGCACCTGCCACCCGACTTCATTTTCACAAATTTAAAAATTGAAAGACTCACACGCATACAACCAAGCATTAACGTTCGAATGTGTTTGAAAATATTTATGGCGCACTTTCAATCGAAAACGTCTCTCAGACTTATTGAATATAAACGAAATGCCATTTCATAACGATGGATTTTTCGCAACGAGCATTTTTATTATCAATTTGAAGCGCATTTTACGATTGGAAAATTGTTGATGGCAGAGAAGAGAATGAGCAATAGAAAGGGCTCAAAGATCTCAAAGAGAAACAGAGAGACCGAGAACGAGAGAGAAAATATTCCAACTGAGAAAATTGAGTTTACTATAAATTTCCCCCTTTTGGCCGCGCGAACTCATTTTCTCTGTCTCTTCTCTCTCGTTATTATTCTTTTAGCAGTGAAATTGCATCGCGATGTACAAACAACTACAAATGGCAGAATGACTGCAAAATATGTGCCACATAAAAATTCTTTTCACTATTCGATGCTGTTTTGCCACTTTGTTATGCCGTATGCAGTATAGTGAGGTATCGATTGAGTTGCCCTCATTACGCGGTGTCCTTCAACATTTTCCAATGTAATACCCCGAACAAAAGAACCACCATCAAATGCGATTGTGTTAGCAAGTGATGTCGCAAATCTATCGTAATGCAGGCAAGAAGTTTTCACTCCCTTTCTCTTATACTCTTGACTCTCTGCAAAGGACACAAACTCGAAATGTTCAGTGAATCACTGCGAAAAGTCATGGCCATGCATAAAATGTTCACGACAACAAAAGTACGAACGATTTCATGTTGACGTTGTCGCGCCGCCAATTTCATTTCGCTAAATGTTTCGCAATTCATTTCGTAACCAATTTTGTATGAAATGTTTGAGTTTTTTTTTTCAAATGATTTTCTGGTTGGAATTCGATAATTACAGTGGTTATAACATATATTTTTTTATCGCGTATATTATCAGTAAATGTTAATGTTGAAATATTCAAATGGAAACGGCACTAAACAAATCCGTGAATCGAATAATTTGGCTGTTGTTGTTCTGGTCAATTATTGGTGATGGCCACCCCATTTGGTTGATAAAAACCACAATGCTCATTCTCTGGCTCAATGGTTGTTATGTAATTCATTTGACATGCCATTCTCATGAATCGGTAATATGAATATATGCTCTTGTTCACGTTCCACTCATGACATGCATGCCGGACATACCATTCTTTTTGTGGCGCAGTTTTTTTTCCATTTGCGTTCATCAAAAATAAACTCATTTCATAAATTGACGTTGATAATCGCTTGTCCATTTGGCGAACAGCACAAAATTCATAATTAATTTTGACATGCAGGTCATGCTGTTAC